AATCAGAATACAAGCTCAAGATCAAAGGCCAGAGAGGGCATAAAACCAGGGACTCAAGTTCTTTTCCACCCTTCTCTTCTTCTTCACCCAACACCTGGAAGCATGTGGTCACCTTTTTCCCCAGGACCTCAAGCCACGCGGTCCTGTCCACCATTAAAACCATCTTTCTAAGCAGCCTCCATGTTCCCAGTGTCTTTTTCCCCACTTGGAACTGAACCCAGAAGGACATTTCTTCCAACACTAATAACCATGACTTAATATTAATTTGAAGTTGTAATAACAGCATCCCAGAGTGCTACTGAAGTATCACCAAAGGACCTTTTTTGGATGCAATAAATCTTTGAATAATCTTAATAACTGTCCTGAATACTCTGACATTTTTTTTTTACCTGGGTGGATTATTGGCCTTGGGACCTCCTCGCCAGAGAAGCCCCAGGTTTGAAAGGTCTTTCTTCCTTGACATTTCTGTTGCTAACTTGAATCTTTTCCATCATCTGTAAAAATTGAAAGAAACCATTAACTTAACTCTTTCCCTGAAAATTTACAAGCCAATGTGTTCCACAAATTCCTTGGTGGTTGGAAGTTCTCTGTTTGATTGGCCAGGAGGATGATGTCACAAGCATTCCAGTTTACCAATCAGTGTCTGGGGCACTTTTCAACACTGGCTTATTTGTTGTGTCATTAATTTCCTTTGACTTATAACCCATTGCCTTCAGATCAAAATATTAAAATGTAAGCGTCAAAATACATAAAGGAACAAAATAGGTGTGTTATATATTTTCATAGAGAGAGATATTTGTTGCAAATATACCATGTATCAGAGGTGGATTGCTGCTGGTTCGGCCCGGTTCGGCCGGACTGATAGTGGCGGTGGTGGGAGGCTACGCCCACCCACCCGGATGCTTCTGCGCATGCACAGAAGCGTTGTGCGTGCAAGCAACGCACATGCGAGCACAAGCGAAACGATAGTAAACCGATTAGCAGCCCACCACTGCCATGTATCAATACCAGTATTTGGCAATAATCAGTGAACCTAACAAGATTTAACGTGAGAGAAATATCCTGATCAGGACTTATCAGAACTGTTTTGTTCTTGCCATTTTGCTTGCTTTCTAGGACAGGCCAAAGAGAATGTTAGAAAACTGAATGCTGAAGAAGCAAAGGATCACAGAGTTCAGAAACACAGGCAGATTTGCACAATATGGGGTAACGTAGTACAATGGACTTGCAGGGCCGGAGCAACGTGTAACATGTTCACACTGATGCGATAGGACCGGGTGTTTGTTAATATGATTTATTGGGTTAGGGATTTTCTGTCTTCACTGTGAGTTGTATTGTGTTGCGGGGGAGTGCACTGGGGGAGCTCAACCAATCTCACTGTACATGTTGTGCACTACAAGTAAATAATAATTATTATTAAGGTGGGTCGGTGGCACCCGGCTTTAAAGCTTTCATTAAACAAACAAACAACGGGGCCTTCCAGGCGCTAGGGGTCGCTGTAGGAGACGTCGGTCTTCTAGCTGTCATTCCTTCCTTCCTCCTTCCCTTCCACCCTCTCAGTTCAGTGATCAGGAAGTGTCTCCTGGAGACACCGGGTCTGCTTCCAGTTAGAAACAGGCGGTGGTTGCTATTGGTGGTTCCGGTGGTTGCTTTTCTGGTTTGGGCGTGGTGGCATCATGGAGCACATCCGCACCACGAAGGTAAATAACATTCTCCGTCCGCGCCGGCCCGTTTGACGGTCGTTAACTGGGAGCAGCAGAGCCTTAACTTGCGGCTTGGCTAATTCCTCCGCTTGCTGCCCAGGTTCTACTCCGGTTCTACTCCGTGGCAGAGGGGCTCCCTTGGGATGACCAGGATCCCCTCCCTCCGGGCTCTCTTTCCCAGCCTGCTCCCTTCCAGAGGTGTAGAATCCACAACCCCCAGAATACAAAGCACATTTAGAATTCTTTATTCGTTAAAGAATTAATTCGGGGGTGCAATATGGAGTGACATTGACCTGGCTGGTGCCTAGCATTCTGTTGAGTGGGTTTGGGGTGGGTTTGGGGGGGATGGGAGGGGGAGAGATTGCTTTCTGCGAAGTACTTAGATGTTTCAAAGGAATCGTCCACCTTTTAAAGCTCTTGTGAATGCTTCTTTTCTGGAGAGTCTTAAAATAATAAAATGCCTTTGCATTTCGGTTGTGGTTCCAGTCTAAGGGGAGATAGAATTGGAACTCTTAGGTAGATAGAATTCCCATTTCTATTCCTACTGTCCCCATTTATTTGTATTCATTTCTTTCCTTCATATTCATGTTTATATTTATACCTATCTTGTACTTGTTTGACAAACTAATAAGTAATACAAATACAGATCTTGCAAGGGTTGTTACTCAGTAACTTCAGCCTCTTCTTGATCTGTTGAATTCTCATTTTGACAGATTTGCCTATATCAGATTCTTGTGTTTCCTGGAAGCTTATGTTAGTGGAGCCTAACTGGCAGGCTTATCAGCTGCTTTTTCATTGCATTCGATTTTTCCAGGCACCAGGATTGTTAAGGACTCTCTCCACATTTAGTTGTGATCAGCAGAGCTGAAATCCATTGTGTGCCATGCTAGGGTAAGCTGACAGTAGGTTTTAAAAAAAAAAAAAATCAAAGGGCACACAGTAAGCAAAGATAGATGCTGTTTTAAAAAAACACCTTTGTTACCTTTTCCATTATTTATTGGATGTTAGCCATGTGATCTTGGAAACCCTTATCTTCCAAATTGAGCTTGTATTTTATTTTCATTCCATATACTGTTGAATTCTGGGCAACAAAATCGCATTGGTAGGTGAGATAAAAGAATACTTCAGAATTTTGAGCATTTTTTCAGCATTGTCATTTTTGCTGTGGAAATAATTTTTTCTCTAATTGTTTGGCTGCTGCTGCTGTTTTTCTGTATGTACATATTTATAAATTGCAAGTAGCAATACAACTGTACAATCTTGCAATAAATAATTCTGCTGGTCTTTTATAATTTTCTAGGTTTGCCTACTTTTTATACACTGTTATTATTTCATTATTTCAGATGTTGTTTCAAATTTAGCAAATTAAATGAAGCTTTTTTTCATTGTGTTGTGTCAACAATGTGTTGTAAGTTACTCTAGCACTGTTTAGCTTCTGTTTCCTCTGCATTCATGGTTTAAGGATAGACTTGGATTAATGTAATATTGATTTGCTTTCCTTGCATTCTTGTAAGTGACTGATAGCCTTCCTCGGCCAACAGCTCTTGCTTGATCTCTCTTTTTGCATATCTAGAAATAATTATCAGTATTCTTAACCTGGTATTTCCCTGGTCATTATAAATACATTGATCTGTATCTCTGTTCCATAGAGCTGAAGCATTGTGTGTGAACCAGATCTTGCTGTATTCTTTGAGCATACTTTTAATTTTTGCACGTCTAATACTGCAGCTTAAGATATGAAGAGTTGAGCATGAATAGGACTTTCCCTTTCATAATTAGAGACATGCATGTCCTAATTTTAGTGGATTGTAGCCTAGAACAGCTATTTCATCTCAGGCTGCAGTATTTCACAGTGGAATCCAGAGGACGCTCGTTGTGATCTGGCTCCATATAAAGCATAAGATCATCCTTTTCAATTCTTTCAATACTTTTGATAACTAGGAAACAATCTGTGCAGATAGTCAGGAAAGAACTATATTGCTGTGGTCTTTAATGTAATCTGTGAACAAACTGTATCATACAGACTGCTTTCTGTGCAATAAATAATTTGATTTCTTTTATGTTGAGCTATTGTTGAGTAGTTTCATGCGATACTTGGCTTTTTTTAAAAAATGCAGGTTGAACAGGTAAAATTACTGGACCGATTCAGCACCAACATCAAGTCACAAACAGGAACTCTTTACCTTACAGCAACTCACTTGTTATTTATAGATTCCAGCCAGAAAGAGACATGGGTAAGGAGAATAAGGTTTATGTTGCATTCCTTTACTTATATATTTTTCTACATTACGTAACTTCCAAGAAACATATGGGCTGATGTACACAACTTTTCAAAAGTGCCCTATGATATTTATGGTTAGGGCTGTCCTAACCATGGAAGTTGAGCGTGTAATAATTGTTTAGCGCATATCTCTATAAGATTCTTGTTAAAAATAATCTTCATAAGATTTTTCTGTGCTTCGTTGCCACTATACTACAGTGTGTATTTGAAAAATTTTAAGCTTTAACTGCAGTCGCCTGTATGAAATCAGCGAGGTAGAATACATAGGGTGTGTTTGCCTAAACAAAATGAGAAATCTCCACTGTATATGCTTAAAGGTATTTTTCAAATGGAAAAAGAGCAACAGGCAACTTTGATGTAATATTACATTATTATTAAGAGCCGAGGTGGCGCAGTGGTTAGGGTGCAGTACTGCAGACCACTTTAGCTGACTATGATCTGCAGTTCAGCGGTTCAAATCTCACCGGCTCAAGGTTGACTCAGCCTGCCATCCTTCCGAGGTGGGTGAAATGAGGACCCGGACTGTGGGGGAAGTTGCTGACTCAATTTGCTAAAAAAATTTGTAAACCGCTTAGAGAGGGCTGAAAGCCCTATGAAACGGTATATAAGTCTAAGAAATAAATAAATAAATTATGCTCATTATANGAGGAAATACTGTATTTTTTGGAGTATAAGATGCTCAGAAGTATAAGACGCACCTAGCTTTGGGGAGGAAAACAAATCTGCCTCTGCCTCCCAGCAATTTGCCTCCTTGCGGCAAACAGTACAAACAATATACACTGTTTGTGATGTTACATTTCAGACTATACTTGTACAGATGCTGTTAAAATTGATGTGGCTTTCTGGAAGTATATGTTATTCTCTGCCATTTAAAAGAAGATACAACAGCACTGGGCTTCTTCAGACCAAGCATTTATTTTAAAAAGCTTCTTCACTTTGTTACCTAGAACAATAATAAAGCAGTCTTTTAAAAAATAAGTCTAATAATTTGAACATTCTATAGGCATTTAGTTATTGACTTACCTCTTTGCAACAAACAGCAAACAGCCTCAATTTAGCCTGATTAGAAGAAGAAAAAAATCTAACCTATTGCTGCCTCCACAAGCCCCATTTTCCCGTTTGCTGCAAGGAGGTAAATTGTTGGGAAGCAGAGGCCAAAGGGTGGGGACTGGTGGGTGTGCGGGGCTACATTTGGTATGTAAATTTTCACCCTTTTTTAGGGGGGAAAAGATACGTCTTATACTCTGAAAAATATGGTAGCTAAATTATACTCATAATAAAAAGTTACCAATCATTCTTAAGCCTCACATAATTGAAGTCCAATGTTTTTCCTTTGGGCATTTCCAGCTATCACTTCTCAAGTAAGGAAAAGATAATGTTAATGATTATATAATACTTACCTAATGTTAATCCTGCAGCAATAGTTGTAGCTGTTCCTGTGTAGGAATACAAAAGAAACAAATTTATGCCATTATTGAAGAATATGGAAAGGTACAAAATTCTAAATCTTCAGTACAGAAGCAAGCAACTTCCTATATCCAGGAATTCTGGACAATTCCCATAACCTCTACCTATTGACCATGCTGCCCAAAAATGATTGGAATTTGCCTCCAAAACAACCAGCAGCAGCAGCTGCTTTCTATCATCAGGGAGTTGGACTAGAAGACCTCCAAGGTCCCTTCCAACTCTGCTGTTGTATTGTATTATTGTATTGTATCAGTCAAGAGGAGTGTTGATTTATCACCAGAATATCAAGTACTTAGAAGGCGACGGCTAGAGAGCACAAGCAAATGGCAGCCAAACTATTTAAAAGCAAACCACCAACACATCCCAATGAGCATCTAAAAAGCCACATACAACAGGCACCATATAAATTACCATACACAGAACAGCACACACTCTGTTAGACCAACCCAAATGACCAACCCAGATTGGATCCTGCTGCATTATCCTGGGAAACATATATTTGCCTTCATCTGGAGAAGTTACCATAACTGAATTCATGTCTTTATTTGCCTATTCTGCCATTAAGTCAGTTTGGTCTAATGGTCAAGATATCAGACTAGAAACCGAGATTATGAGTTCTATTCCTGCCTTTTTCATGAAAGCCAGCTGGTTGATCTTGGGCTATTACTCTCTCTCAGCCCAAAACGCTTCCCAAGGTGGTTGTTGTGGGGAAAATAAGAGGAAGGTAAGTTGGAAAGGTTCATTGCCTTTGTAAAAATAATAAAGATGGGATACAAATAAATAAATGAAATAAAGCCACTTTTCATTTTTATAAAATTTATATAGTCATCTGTATTATACTGAGGGTGGCTTTAATCAACAATTAAAATACCAGTAAAACAGCATAATGCATGTCTATTAAAACCATACATATTAAAAACCTAGCACCAATGTCAAACTTCAACATGCAGTCCCTTGTTAAATCCTCTCAGCCACCTCAACCTGCCCCAGGGCTTGGGGGGGGGGAGCTTTTTGGAAGGTTAAGAGGGTAGAGGTCTGCCAAATTTCAAGAGGAAGGGTGTAACTAATTCAATTCATTAACTAATTCAAGCTAATCAATGCACATTTTGATAGGAATAACTGAAATATGTTTTACCTGTATTAGTCCCTCCTAAGGTAAAACCTGTGGTAGGCTTTGAGCTAAAAAGTCCAGTGCCAAAACCTACAGAAGGAGTACTTGTAGCAGTAGCTGTTGAACCCAACGTCCCAAAGTTAAGGCCTCCAGTTGAGCTAAATTAAAAAAAATATTAAGAACATATTCATTGTTCATTTTATTTCTTCACTGCTAGTTTTACAAAATAGCATGCCTTAATTTAAATGCAATTAACTGACATTTCATCTTCAACCAAGTGAGTGTTTGTAACAGCTAAAATTGTTTAACTTATTTAACATTAACAATATTAATGCTGCTATATTTGTATAGCAATAGCAATAGCAGTTAAGACTTATATACCACTTCATAGGGCTTTCAGCCCTCTCTAAGCGGTTTACAGAGTCAGCATATTGCCCCCAACAACAATCCGGCTCCTCATTTTACCCACCTCGGAAGGATGGAAGGCTGAGTCAACCCTGAGCCGGTGAGATTTGAACAGCCAAACTGCAGAACTGCAGTCAGCTGAAGTAGCCTGCAGTGCTGCATTTAACCACTGCGCAACCTCGGCTCTCTAAGTATGTTATACTATCAGTTGTTTAAACCATGATGTGCAGAACCCCAACTTTGTACAAGGAAAATTAATGGTCTGTTTGGCTAATTTATTATGCTGGTATCCAGAAAAAGGGACAGAGCACATAACCAAATAAGATTTCTGTGCTCAGATATAAGCCAGAGTTAAAACAAACTATAGTCTCATACTGTCATACCAGCTGTCCAGGAATGGGCTCATGTATGATGCTGATCTGTAAATAAAACATGATTTGGCACTGTGTGTGAACCCTGCCTTAACAGAAGTTTTTATTAACTTGCTACTCCTTCTAATGTGTTCAAAGAGTTATGGAAGACTGTTGTAAGTACATCCCCTATTTTGAGGGGGGGGGGAATTTCATACTACTTCTCAAAAAAAATCTTTAACTTGCAGAAAGTCCTAAGGAATCACATGTTTTTTTCTTCACTGCCTGTAAATCTTGATATTCCAGAGATCGGGTTAACTTTGTCTACAAGCTAACATTAATATTTACAGAATTAAAACTGAAGTTTCAACCAAGAACTGTTATTAAAATAGCAAAAAGACTACTAGATATCAATAATTTTCTTACATATCTATTCCACAAAAATATGCCCGCACAAGTTCTTCTTAGATGTTGCTGCTTTATTATAGCACATCCTTGTAGTTACTGTCATTGTCCTGGTATATTGTTAATAAACACAAACACACCAAAGTACAATGGATTATCTCATGTATTTCAGCTGTAGAAAATGAAATTAAAGCTCACACTTTGATACATAATGATTACAAAAACAAATTTTCATAGATTAACTGATACACTGAAGAGGTAGGCTTCAGCAGATTTGATGAAAACAACTGCCACTATATAAAATTCTAAAGGGGCATAAAAACCAGTCAAAATGCTCCAAATATGACAGAAGCATACTCATCATAAAATGCTAACTGCCTGTGTTAATGTTGTACTGAAAGCGGACATGGAAAGTGTGCAACCTTGCCTAATTATGATGTTTTCCAGAGATCTGAAACAACTCACATCACCTCCAATCATTGATAAATTTCAGGACAAGAAAATTAGGGAAGGTTGCAATCAAGTACTTAATGTTGTGAATGAAAATAAATTTTAAATGGATCATATCCCCCATAACTGTAAATGTGCGTCTAACATGTTATAAAACAGATGTTTTACAGCTGCCCTATAATTTATGTTCAAGAAAGAGGGAGAAGGATGAGTTCAACCACCTGAACAGATGGTTAAAACTGTTGTAAAAATGTTTTACTTTTTAAAAAACAAACCTACCATGAGGGGAAAAAACCTTGTGTAATGCTTATTTTGTTTTGCTTAAAGGGACATGAAAGTCAAAATCAATTGCCTAAAATCTCCTGGAAAAGCCATACAATCAGGCCATACATGTACTTCATCTTAGGTTATTTAATTTTATGTTTTTAATCAGGGATGAGCTTCTGCTTTTTCATTGTAAATGTCTAGCTGTCTCTTAGTCACTTATATGAATTGGGAGTCATATAAATACTTATTCAAATAAAATTTTCCCTAAAACAAGTCTCACTAAAAATGAACTTATGGTCAAGGACTCTCAGTACTTTGAAGTTATATGAAATATTTGGCCTTGTTTGACAATCTCTCCAGCTTGGAAAGGCTGCGATCCTGTTGCTAATCCTTTTGTTTCCAATTTCTAGTTAGGATTTTTTTTTTTTTTAGAGAGAAGCCGGCAATTTACAGCAGCTTTCCCCATCTTTGTGGCGACCCCCACGGCCTTCATCCGTGGTAAAATAAGGAAAAACCAGCACACGTGAGGCGCCAGTGCCCTGCTGTTCGGGGGGGGGGACGACGGTGAGGCTTCCTGTGACTCCTGTGAAAACCATCCGGAATGGCTCCCTCAACTCACCTCGGAGTGCTTCCGAAAGAGAAGCCCCCGCCGCCACCTCCCCCGCCGGTGCCCGCAGCAGCCGCGGTAGCGGAAGCCAAAGTCCCGGCTCCGAAGGAGAAGCCCGCCGACATAATGATGGCGGCAGCAGCGCCGGCGGAAAGACCTCAGCCGCAGGGTCTTGCGCTTCGCCCAAGGGAGAAGGCCCGAGGGGTTCTCCCCACAGCCAGGGCTTCAGCGCGCCCCCTCCCAGCGCGCGCGCGGGAGGGACGTCAACAATCCTGCTCGACCGCGCGGGAACTTCAAAGAGGGACGCTCGAGGCTGCGCAAGAAGCGCAGCAGTTAAAGGCGCGCGGATGAAACGACGTGCCAGAAAGCGCCACCGCGCCTGCGCAAGCGCTGAGACTGCTGGTCGCCAGGCCCCTCCCCTCCCGCCTGGGGGAATCCTAGTCAATCAGCGACGCCATCACATCGCGCCGCGTCGCATTGCATTGAATACAGGCAGTCTTCGACTTAACCGTTCATTTAGTGACCGCTCAAAGTTACCACAGCACTGAAAATGAGTGGCTTGTGACTGGCAGTTAAGACCCTTCCCCCCCCCCACCCTGCATCCCCATGGTCACGTGATTTACAGTCACATGCTTGGCAACGGATTCACATTTATGACGGTTACAGTGTCCCGTGGGAATGTGATTCCCCTTTTGTGACCTTCTAGCCATGTTGTGATTAGGCATACAAGGAGCTTGCCTCCCGTACAGGAGCTCTCTGTGTACATGCAACACAACATAATAATAGTAACAATATCAATCAAAGGGGAATAAAGAAAATATTAAGAAGGATAATAAGAATGAACAGATCAATTCCTACAGTACAGGTAGTCCTTGACTTACCACAGTTCATTTAGCGACCGTTACAATGGCACTGAAAAAGTGACATGACCATTTTTCACACTCATGATCTTTGTAGACTCCCCATGGTTATGTGATCAAAATCCAGATACTTGGCAACTAGTTCATACTGATGATCATTGGCATTGCAACCTTTTAGCAAGCAAATCCAATGGGGAGAAGCTTCCCCTAATAGCAGATGTGCAATGCATGGTATTCTAGCTGCATAGAGGTGGACAGTTCAGCTCTTGGTTTAAGTAGGCTCACTTCACATGGAACGGAAGAATTTGGATTTGTTCGGTATTTTGGAGGAAAAGCAATTCTGGCAATGCAAATAAAGTCTAGAGTAGACAATTTCAGTAGTTTAGGATGCCTGGACTTCAACTTCTGAGAGTTGAAATCTACCCATCTTAAAGTGGCTAAGGTTGAGAAACAGTGACCTACGTGGTTCCACACAAAGGAAGAAGACATGATTGTTGCACACTTAAGAGATGTTAAACTGGTGGGATTCAATTTTTTTTTACTTCCAGTTCTGTGAACGTGGCTTGGTGGGCATGGTGTGGCTTGGTGGGCGTGGCAGGGGAAGGATACTGTTAAATGTCCATTCCCTCCCCACTCCAGGGGAAGGTTATTGCAAAATCCCCATTTCCTCCCGATCAGCTGGGACTCAGGAGGCAGAGTATAGATGGGGGAGGGGCCAGTCAAAGATGGTATTTAGCCGTTCTCTGAACTACTAAAAATGTCCGTTACTGGTTCTCCAGAACTGGTCAGAAGCTGCTGAATACCACCTCTGATGTTAAACTGGTGCAAAACTATGTTAGAATCAAAACCTCACAGAATTGTGGGTAAAATAGGCAGGAATATTAAGTATGTTTGCTGCCTTATGCTGACCAAATATACATACATGCGTACATACATGCATGCATCCATACATACAGAAAGGGAAATAATAGCAATGATATTTTTAGAGATGATTTATTGGAGGACACATAGCAGGCAAGGCATGGGGGTAGCCTTCTGATTCCCCACCCCCACCCCACCCCAGCTTTTGACATTGCCTAGTTGTGAGACAGGAAGAAATGGCTCTTACCAAATGTTTGCACTTGTCTCTTGCAGAGAGGTTTGAATCCGATCCAGGCCCACAGGTAATCCATTCCTGATGCAAAAAAAGTTTATCACCTGCTAAAAATCCCTGTTTTGTATAGGTGTTAAAGAGGTTCAAGAATGTCACAGCCAATTATGATTTTGTTAAAAATGATACCTATTGGCAGTTTTTACTTCCTCATTTACTATTCCTTCATCTTACACTGAAGGAAAGATATATGTATGTAGTACATAATATTCCTTCTCATTTTTAATTTATTTAATAGATATTTAAAAGCAATCCAGAAAAACACACCTTTTCAAGATAATTCTTAACTCATCTCATGGGCTATACCACAATCAGTATTTTAGTCCTTGAGATGTCCTAAGACTATTCATAAGTTTCAGTTCTCGCAATAATTACAATCTAATGTAGGAAGTTATCACCCAGCCCTCTCCCAGAAAAATGAAATATCCTAGGAAATATTGAAAAGGCAGAATATTTCTCTGGATGTGAAAAGGAAGAAACATGTTTTAAAAGACAGAATAGTTGCCTGTAGCTTCTTGCCCATCCCCACTGGGCCATTGAGAAGGCCAGCCTAGTCCCTTTTACATAATAAAGGCTTCTCCACTTCAGCTACAGGGGGATGGGTGATA